TGGAAGTGGTGCTGTGGCTCAAGTGGTAGAGCGCTAGCCTTGAGCTGAAGAGCTGAGGGACAGCGCCCAGGCCCAGAGTTCAGGCCCCATGACCAGCAAAAAAAAAAAAAAAAAAAATCGAGACTAGAAAAGGCCTAAAGCAATCCAATAATCAGATGGTCAAGGGGAAATGTAGATAAAAATAAATCAAGAACTCTGGGAAGTAAAGGCCATTGGCTACTGGTACCATTGATCAATTCAAAATGGGGTTTCATTCTATTTCTACACATCTAGGGTAGCAGTGCTGCCAGCATCAATGAGTAGACACAGCACAGGTCAGGAGCTCACATATCCCAGAATCAGGTGAGTATGTGGTCAAGAACATATTCTTTGAATTAAAAATAAGATCACAGTGCTGTTATAAAAAAAAAAAAAAGCTAGTGACTTTAGGCAAGTGGGGATGCTCACAAAAGTCATGCCTAAATTGTACTTATGAAATTGTTTAAATGGTAAGAAGCTAACTGGCAAAAGTGAACAAATAACCACTGCTCTTATCCTAATGCCATAAAACACTAGGCTCATCAGGAGACAAGTATTCCTTCTGAGGCTAGTTCTGGACAGATGACTCTACACCTTTCATATTCTCAGACTAGCTATGAATCTGATGTCATCACAAGGGTATTCAAGGAGAGTCCAAATTGAGGGCTTTCCAAAAGACCAAAATTGAATTCAAGTTTCATCCTTCTCCTCTAATTCTTCTTGTCAGCAGCAGATCTTAAAGATGCTCCCAAGGTATTCTGTCTGATCCTCTTCTTCCTTTCTAATTGTAGCTACAATGAAGCAGCTTTGCTCACCAAAGCCAGATTTGCTCACCTCAACTGGGAGGCTAAATCCTAGTTCTGACACCTGTTGAGTTAAAGGCCTGATTCAATTCTGCCCCCATTGGTAACCTGGAGGAAATACATCCATCCAAGTGTTCTCAGGGACACTTCTCAGCTGCAAGGATGGACATTTTCACACTGTTGTGGATAATCATCACAACTCTGTAAGAGAGCAAAGCTGCTATCATCTGCTTCTGTAAGAAGGCAAGGTTGCTTTCATCTGCTTTTTAAAGAAACAGGCCAGGCTCTGATGGCTCACACCTGTAATTCTAACTACTGAAGAGGCTGAGATCTGAAAATCAAGACTCAAAGCCAGCCCAGGCAGGGAAGTCCATGCGGCTCTCATCTCCAATTAACCACCAAAAAGCTAAAGACAGCACCCAGGCTCTGAGTTCAAGTCCCAGTATTGGCACAAAAAGAAAAAAAAGTGGGTCATACAAAGAGTCCAAGACCCTTATGACTCATAAACTATAAGATAAAGATTATGACTCCCAGGCTCTCAGACTCAATTCTATAGCTTCAATCCTGGCCATTTTCTCTCCACTATGAAGAGTAAGCTTGCAAAGGAATTTAGATGTCCTGGGGCCATACTCTCCCAACTGAGACCTCCCTGGAATTAATGAACCTCTACTTTGTGTTTTAGGACTTGCCAAGAAATGAGTCTTCCCCCAAGAGTTAACTCACATCTTGGACAGATAAGCCTAGGGAAATTGCCAAGATGCCTTTTCAAATGAACAATTAAAAGGAAGAGCCAAATCCAAGGAGTTAGACAGGAATAGTCCTTTACAGAACAAAACTAAATCAGGCGCCTCTGGCTCCCTCCTACAGTCTGAGAGTCATTGCGGTGGCTCTGTTAACACCTAGATGGTAACCTGTCATCCTTTTCTTGGGGTCAGAACCGCCAGATAGGGAACACAAACAGGTAGCCCCCACGGAACAATATCATGACACTTTAAAAAATTAAATTGAAAAAAATCTCCATATCCTGACATTGCAATTGAGCAATGCTCACTCGTAGCTTCACGGCTCTAAAACAACCCTCCTACTACAACCCCAAACCATCCCCTCCCTCAAATCCAAGCCACTGTCCAAGACCAGGAGCCAATCCCATAATCCCAAACATTTAGGCCACTCAATTCCCCCCTCTGGAAGGCCCTCAGCGCTCCGCCCCATCCGTCCCGACCTCCAAACCCAGAGAGGAGAGAGAGGAGAGAGAAAGAGAGAGAGAGAGGCTCCCAGCAGGGCCGAGGCTCTTTCTTATGTAAAAGCTGGATTTGCATCCCCCCACCCCATATCACCCTTTAAAAGACAGCGGGTTTGGTAGGCTGCCCCCAGCTAGGTGGGCACAGACAGGTCTGGGACCGGGACAGTAAAAAGTTCGCTTTCAGAACGACCACAAAGCAAAAATAAATAAATCTCAGAGAGAGTCTGGGAGGATGGTTAGGGAATCGGTCCTTATCTGACTTTTAGGGGCACAGCAGAAAGTAACACCCAAAGTCCGCCCCCTACTCGGAGGCGGGCCCCATGGACGCGAGGCGGGGCCGATCGCGTGCAGGGGCGCGGGGGGGGGAAGAGCGCCCCTAGCCGAGCTTCAGTTCCGGGCACCTCAGTTCCGGGGAGGGGGCGCCGCGAACCAGTTCTGTACCCTGTCCCAGCAACTTTACGGGTCGGCTCGCCCTCCAAGACCTCCTCCCCGGGAGCGGTGAGGAGACGTAGGGGAGTCACACGCCTTCCAAAATCAGTTCTGTAGCGCGCGAGGCCCCCCGAAGCCCCACGCGGCCAAAGGAGCCTCCTCCCCGAGACACGATTTGTCCCCACGTGCTCTCGCCGGAACTCCGGCTGCCCAAGAGGGGCTCCTCCCACGTGGCCACACAGCAGTCCTGGAGTACGTGCCGCGCGACCTGCCCCCTCCAGAAACAAGAAAGAGAAAACGAATAAAGGTGGCAGGAGGAGTTCGGGGCGACCGCGACCACGCGCAGGAACGCGGGGAGGGAGCGAGTGCGGGAGCGCGCGAGTCCCCGCGCCGCGCAGGAGCCCTGGCGGACGTGGCTTCTCCAGCCCAAGGAATTTCCCAACTACCCAGACTTTTTCCGCGTCCCAAGCCCCAACGGAGAGGAAGCGGGTTTCCCCACACACACACACATACACCCTCAGGATCCGGAGATTCCCGGAGACCACGCAGCTAGCCAGCCTCCCCCGCCGGCGCCGCCTTACCTTCTGCACTTGGTTACGGTTGAGTTCCGTGAACAAGCAGGCGATCATGTGCGAGGCAATCATCTTGCCGCGACTTACACCTGGCCAAGTAGGGGGGAAACTGAGGCGCGAGCGCTGGTGGAGAAAATAGGTTGGCGTGGTACAACCGCTTTGTACCGGGGCTCCGCTGCCTGGCAGGGAGCGAAGAGTCCAGAAGCCACACAAAAGAAAGCTAACGGCAATAGCTCGCCCACTGGGGTTCTTCGGGTCTCCAGAAGGAGGTTTGTGGAGCCACCGCAGCTAAAAGGCGCCCAAATATCACTCCGGGCGACGTGTCCGGCTTCCCCAGCGTCAGGGCGCTAACTTCAGCCACAGGGTCACTGAGGCTCAACTTAACAAGAATCGCAGCCCAGCTCCACTGGGACGATCGGACTTCTCAGGGTCGTTCGAACGATGCTCCAGCCGGTTTCTCTTCGCTAGGTAACGCGGGGCTGCTAGCGGTGGCCTAGAACTCCAGCGCCGGAGTTTGGCGCAACAATGTGGCTTATTGAGGGGCTGCCGGCTCGAGGGCCGCCCGGTCTGTGACGCGCGCGCGCCCATTGGCTGCGCAGAGAGGGTGTGTGTGCCGACGGACCGCCCGCTGGAGCGGCACAGCCAATCAGCGCGCACGGCCCGCGGGCGCGGCCGCTTCGACACTGGAGCCAGACTTCGGAGAGGCAAGCCCGGGGCCGGGGGTGGGGCCGGGAGCCTGGGATGGGACGTGTGTTCCGTGGCAAAAGCTTCGGACTCAAAGGCGCATGAGCCACCGCTGCGTCAGAATCTGGACGGGTGGGGGGCGCGTGATCGGCGACCCAGGAGATGTGGAGCGACTGGAAAGACAAGTGACTGGACCGCCCTACGCCCTTGTGCGGTGAAAGACACGGTCTGGTGTGTGGGGATCTCGTGAAGGGATTCCACTACGTGGGCACACTTCTAAAGCATCCGGGTTTGCACCTATTGTGACTTAACGCGTCAGTGCACTTACAAAAGCTAGCCCAACGAACCACGGGGTGGGCTGTGTGTGTTATTAACCCCGTTGCACAGATGAAGAAACTGAGACGCAGTGCTGTTAAGAGATTTGCAGATGAGGAAAGAATCACTTGTCTTACATTAAGACCCTATTCTCTTCCTCCTACTCTGCCTCTCCGTGAAAGTAAAAGGCGGTAAAGGGGCTTCACCTGTAGCTGTAGGACTGATAGTGAAAGTCGTTAAACCGATGGGCTGGCACATGAATTCGGGAAAGGAGGAGATCCCTAGGTTAATGCCTGGCACCAGCCTTCAAATAAACATAAAAAGAGCTGGCCAAAACTCATCTTAGCAGACATGAGATTGGTGCTGGTCAAGTTGGAGAGATCAGAGTGGAGGGAAAATATGCTCTGCTGGATGGTATCTGAAATATGTATGGAGGATATTCTTGTAGAAGTACTTAACACTTGGAAAATAACACAGGTAACTATGAAAACATTTTTTTTTAAATCCATGATCCAACCTCTCAGCATATTTGAAAAGCTCTGAACCCTTGCCAAATACAAATTGTCACCCCTCCTTTCCTGCATCCACTTAGGATTGGATCCAAACTACTTTAGTCCTAGTCACCCTCTGACCTACATGTTGCATATCTCTCTGCCCTCATCTTACTCCACCCCTCAGGGATGCTGGGGACAGTTGATCATATCCTCTGGACACGCCTTCCTTGCCCAGTCTGCTCCAGTTGCTTCACTCAGTCGGTTTCCTACTAACCTTGCTCCCTGGAGCCCATTTTCTCTACTGAAAAGTACTAGAGTAGTCCAGACCTGCCTTCTACCCTCTTCTCTGATCTGGTTACATCTTCTCCCTGGAGATCCCTCCCAGCCTCATGACTGTTATATCATGTGCACGCAGGTGACTCACAAAAGTACACCTACAAGAAAGGACCTCTCCCAGCACTCCAGACTTGCTCCTGATTGTCATATGTCACCTCCACATATGCAATAATGAACTCAACCTTTCTTTTCAAATCTTTTCCTTTCCCAATCATCTCAGCAGCTTTCATCACCAGGCACCTTAAGTCATCCATGCTTCCTTCCTGCCACTCACATTCACATTCAGTCAACCCATCCACAAAGCAGTCAATGTAATCTATCACACTCTGACCCTCTCCATGTCCCTAGACACTTCCTATCCAAGCCACCAGAGCCAATGCCATATTATCTTGCTTCCATTCTTGCCTCCTTCCCCTTTCAACCTTCACAATGTCTTCACTTGGGAGCTAAGATGAGATTTGTTTAAATGATAAACCAAACATAGCCAGGCACAGTGGCTCATGCCTATAATCCCAGCTGCACAGCAGGCAGAGATCCAGAGGATTGTGGTTCTAGGCTAACATGCACAAAACATTAGGGCCTTGAACTAGCTGAGTAGAAGGCACACTGCCATCTAAGCCAACCCCAAACCCCTTTTTCTTCTTAGATTATTTTTTAGACAGAGCCTTGCAGTTTGGAGTTTGTTTGGAGTTTTATTATTGTAATCATCATTGTCATCAGTAGTAGTAGTAGTAGTAGTAGTAGTAGTAGTAGTAGTATTGCTGACAGAGCTGGCCTAGATCTCCATCATCTGCAGCTTTCTGCATAGCCAGGTTCATAGGTACATACCACCACTTCTCATCTATTGGTTGAAATGGCGCATAAGCTTTTCCCTAGGCTGGCCTCCAACCACCTTCTTCCTAATCTCCACATCACTTAAAGCTGGGATTACATACCTGGTGGTTTTTAATCTTAAAATTCAAATATCTGATAACTACTACTAAAGCTTTGAGGTCTCTGCCTTCCTCTACTCCAGCTCATAAAGTTGATACTTTGAAGCCATATGCCAGTGGCTTATGCCTAGAACCCTAACTACTCAGAAGGCTGCAATCTGAAGACCATGGTTCAAAGCCAACCTGGGCAAGAAAGTTTGTGAGATGCTTATCTCTTTTTTGTTCAGTTGTGGGGCTTGAACTCTGGGCCTGGGTGCTGTCCCTGAGCTCTGCAGCTCAAGGAGAGCACTCTACCACTTGAGCCACAGCACCACTTCCAGTTTTCTGATGGTTAATTGGAGATGAGAGTCTCTTGGGCTTTCCTGCTCCAGCTGGCTTTGAACTGCAATCCTCAGATCTTGGCCTCCTGAGTAGCTAGGATTACAGGCATGAGCCACCAGCACCCTACTCTTGTCTCTAATTCATTACCAAAAAGCTGAGAGTGGAGCTATAGCTCAAATGGTATAGAGCTCCGGCCTTGAGCAAAAAAAGCCTAGGGACAGCACCCAGACTCCAAGTTCAAGCCTCAGTACACACACACACACACACAACAATCCTCATACTTCAAGTTTATTATTTACTGATTCTCAGCTCTCCCTCCTTTTCTCTCTTCCTTCTCTTCCCTAGTATACATTCATAAGCACAGATGTTGAAGTGTGACCAGACAACCACACAATTTTCACTCCACCACCCAAGAGAGAAATCAATCAGCAAATAATTATTAAACCTTTACAATGTTCAGAACAGTCCTTTGGTGCTGTGAGAAACACAGCACCACCTAAATGATTAATTGCTTAGTCAAGATAAAACTCTAACATGTAAAATAAATATTAAGAAAGGTCTACCCTTACAAAGCCAGCATCTGTGTCTTTATTTATGATAGAGTTTTGGAGAAGGAAGAGCGAGAGCCACAGGCCAGTGGCCATCCACGGTGTTTGGACTGATGGGATTGCCAGCTTTCCTATCTGACAATAGCTGGTACATACTAGCCAATACTCTGATCTAAATCCTGGCCTCTGGGTTCAGGAAACTGTCTTGAGAAAGCAATACTTTGCACAAAGACCTCTATTAGGATTTTTAGAAGTTAGGATTCATCCAGTTTGCAATATATTATAAATAGGTTATGTAGAGAATTTTAAGATTGAGGTTGGGATGGAAAGAGTGGCCCTCACCTTTAATACTAGCTACAAAAAGTAATTCTAGAGGCATGGCTTGAGTGTTAGAGCATTAGCCTAGCAAGCATGAGGCCCTGATTCAAACCCCACTACCACCAAAGTGGGGTGGGGCGGGGGCAGGGAAAGACTCAGGTTGGACCTGGCCTGGATATACATACTCATAACTCCTTGCATCCTTGTTCTCTTTAATATTGTGCCCTAATGATCTAGTGTTTATAGTCCAATTATTTATATATTTGAGGAATTGGGACAGAAATGCCTTTTAAAGCAGTTAAAAAAACATAACTAGAAACCATTACACACACACATACACACACACACACACACACAAATTCTGTCAAGTGCAAACAACATTTTCAAGCTAGTTCAAGCAGAAAAGAAATTTATCAAAAACAAATTAAGTCCAGGTGACATTGTCCAATAAACAAAATGTATTCATTACCTGACTTGAAATGGGAATCCTTCTGTACAACATCTTAAGAATAAAACTAAAATTATATTTTTAAAAATATTAAAGCCCAGGCTGGGAATGTGAATTAGTGGTAGAGCGCTTGACTAGCATGCATGAAGCCCTGAGTTTGGTTCCTCAGTACTACATAAACAGAAAAAGGCAGGAAGTGGTGCTGTGGCTCAACTGGTAGAGTGGTAGCCTTGAGCATAGACAGGCTCAAAAACAGTGCCAAGGCCTGAGTTCAAGCTCCAGGACTGGCAAAAAAAAAAATTAAAGCCCAGTGACACTGGCTCATACCTGTAATCCTAGCTACTCAGGAGGATGAGATCTGAGGATCATGGTTTGAAACCAGCCAGGGCTGGCTTCTTGGGAGACTCATCTCCAATTCACCACCAGAAAACCAGAAGTAGAGCTGTAGTTCAAAGTGGTAGAGCTGTAACCTTAAGCAAAAACACTCACAGATAACACTCAGGCCCAGAGTTCAAACCGCACAGCCAACAACAACAAAAATTAGAGTCCCTTACTAGATCTTCAAGAGGGTCAGAGAAGCAGGCTTAGAACCAGCCAAGAGTAATGCCAGAGTTATACCATCCAACTCTCCCAGTGAAGAGGCTATTTCTATGACCCTTGGCCTAGCATCTCTGCCACATTCCTGATACTAAACATAGGACAGAGCCACCCTTGGGAGCTGAATGTCTATCTCTTATTTTTCTTCTTCTTCTTTTTTATTTTGCCAGTTCAGGGACTTGAACTTGGGGCCTGGACACTGTCACTAAGCTTCTTTTGCTCAAGGCTAGCACTCTACCACTTAAGCCACAGAGCCACTTCTGGTTTTTTCTGTTTATGTGGTACTGATTTGAACTCAAGGCTTCATGCATGCTAAGCAAACACTCTATCACTAAGCCAGATTTTTAGCCCTTCATAGCATTCATGATAGAAGGAATTCTATATGCTCCTCCTCCTTTTTGGTACTTCTAAACTGACATTTTGAGGCTGGTTAGTAGTGCTTGAATTACATGACCATCCCTAGATGCACAGGAAGCTGGAAAAATAGGCCAGGGAGTC